CAGGAGGGGAAGACCCTCTATGAGGTGGATTAATTCAGTGACTGGGGTAATCGGGATGGGTGTGTCAGAGGCAATGCAATTGGTACAGGATAGAGCAGGGTTTAGGGCTGTTGTACATAGGGTCCCTATGAGTCGCAAAGCACTCGATGGCACATAACAACAACAACAACAAAGTATGTCTGGGATTCTCTGTTTTCTGGCAAGATCCGTTTAACATGACCAATAATACTACTCAAACCACAACTTTTTCGTAATAGTTTGAGGTTTTTGTACGTTCCTTGCGTATTCTTGTCACATTCTTTTAAAAAACATTTTCAACACTATTTTACTTGCATGAGCTATTAATAATATTTGATAATTTCTACACTGTGTTTAATATTTTTTAATATGGAAAAAATATAAGTCTTTTCAGTTAGTTAGCTAGAAGCTATCTTCCATATTTGTTGGTATAGACTGTTAAGCAAGTCCAGGGCTTCATCTTTTCATTTTAACTTCTCAATTGGTATTCTATGAATTCCTGAGGCCTTATTTTTTGCCAATGCCTTCAGTGCAGCTTGAACTTCTTCCTTCATTACCATTGGTTCTTGATTATATGCTAATTCACAATAAGGTCCATATTTGTTGAATTATTTTTGGTATTGTATATTTGATTATTCCTTCTAATATCTTTTTATACTTCTTGCATCATTTGAGATTTTTTCCTTCAATATCACAACCAAAGTTTGGGTTTATTCATCGCTTCTTTCAGCCCGAGAAATATCTAGCTTGCTCTTCCCTTTGCGTTTTTGTTTTTGGGATTTTTGTGGGGGTTTTTTTGTGGATTTTTTTTAAGTACAGCTATGAATATATCTTTTATACTTTGCTTTGTTTTATCAGATTACCCATTTAAATCTTATAAGCTTTTTTTTAAATTTTGGCATTCCTTTACTTTATATTGACTGCTTTGCATTATAGCGAAATAAAGGTATTTGACTGTGTAGATCATAACAAACTGTGACTGACTCTGAGAAGAATGGGAATCCCAGAACACTTGATCGTTCTAATGTGAAACTTATACTTGGACCAGGAGGCAGTCGTCAGAACAGAGCAAGGGAACACTGCATGGCTCAAAATTGGGAAGGGCGTACG